CGGAGCCTGGTCTGCACCCAAATCCACCATCAAAGTTCATACAGGCCAAAACAAATTCAATGGCCTTTTCCACATTAATAGCATCAAGCTTGCCCTACAAAAACAAGTAAAACCTATTACAATCGCCCAGAGCTCTCATAAATGTTTAATGAGGTCCCGCAACACAACATTTAAAGCTTACCAAGAGAGCCAAAGTTGCCACTGCACAAAATGAGAATCTGGTATCAATTTCTCCTAGAAGACAAAGAGCCAAGGAAGTCACATCAATACAAGTTTCCAATGAACAAACTCTGAACCATGCTCACTCAATTTCCCAAAGCCCAGGCTATCTTACCCTAAAACCCAAGAAAACCAGCTAGAAAAACAGAAAGCCTTTTTGGGCCCTTCAAGCTATTTAGAGAGGGAAGGAACCTACAAAATGCAAGGTTTATATGCTAATAAATTCAAGTTAACACATTAACACCCTTCTTTATAAAAAAGGTTCACATCCCACAAAGCAGCTGGTCTCAGGCCTGCATTCTGTCTGTCTCGCCCCCAAACAAATTATCTAGATCAAAATTTTTTCTACATCCCAACTCAGGTATTTACTGAGTAGATAAACTTTTCAAGACTTTTCAGGGAGTTCAGCCCTTCAAAGCCCCAAACACTGGGGATAAACGTGAACCTACCTTATCTTTTAGAGTGGGTGCTGACAAGCCAGCACGGGCATGCTGGGACCTCCAGCAGGCCATTTACTCCAGACAGACCAACTGCTTAGTGGGACCTGAAAAGATGAACAACTTGAAATCTTAGGATTACTACCAAGACAAAGATGTTCTGAGTATGGAGTAGATAAACCAGGCTTACCCCAAATGTCTCCAGCAAATGAACCATCCTCTTTCTGCAGACTCTGAACATAGGCCACAACCTTATCCACGTCAATGACGTTGATGCTGTCATACAGCGTGAGAATCTGAAAGACATCAGTACAGCAGATTCGTTCTGTATCTAAGACACCATAATTTAACCCTGAGTGAAAATTAGTCATTCCAAACCTTTAATCACAATGTTTTGCTACACAAACCATTGATAATCTAAGAAACTCAAGAAGAGGCAGGACTTAAACATCCTTTGACTCTTCACAAAAACCAGTTACATAGGGATGAAATGTCCCCTCCAAGGTCTCAGAGTCTCTGAAAAAGCATCACGTTGGCATTCAGCTAATACATGCCATGACAGACATCACTGACCTTGTAGGAAGGACTAGAAGTTAACTGACCCTCCCCATAAATCCCAACTCCAGCCCCAGGGATCTGGTCACAAGCGCCTACCTGGACGGCGCTCAGAGTGTAGAGAAGATGCGGGTCGTGCCCAATGCTCGCACTGATGCCCCCACACTCATG